TGTGGGGGTACATAGAAAGATTGTGGAGTAGCTTAGCTTAATTTGAAAAAAAAATAATGAAATAATTGAGCTTCCTATTTCTATTAAAAAAATATATCAACATATTGAGTCGACTGTAACACCTGAACACCATATGTTGAGAGTGTGTAAAAATTACTTAGCAACTGAGCAAAACAGTTAGCTAAAAATCAAACATAATAGATAAATACTTATAGTAACGGATTAACGGTTGAAATAGTTAAAAGTAATGAATACATGAAGAATAGAGAAAATGGATCAATTATGATTATTAATGGTTAATAGATCAAAAATGACTGGTTAAACAGAAACCACTGAAACATTTGCTAAAAATAATGGATTAATTGAAATAGTTGTGCAGCGGTGCTTGAGTTGATCTGGGGGATTTTATGTACAGTCTATGAATACACCTGACCCTGATGATGTCATCAGGGTTACCTGGGACTTGGTCTATGAGAGAATGCACAAACTGAGTCTATAGAGTTTGTAAGATGGGTGGGGGTGTTACTCTGCAGGAAGACACTGACCCAATTGTTTGGTTAAGTCAGAGGTTTGGTTTGTCAGTAAGTTTGATAGCTCTGATGCTATTCTGATGTTAATGAGTTTAAAGCCTGTTATTCCAACAAAGTTACACCATGAGGAGCAGCAATAGATATAAGATGACATTTTAGTAGGGCTGGAGATAATGATTATTTTCATTATTGATTAACCGGTTGTCTTTTTTAACAGTTCAGTCTATAAAACATAACAAAATAATGAAACATGCACATCACAGTTTGCAGTGTGCTGTGTCGCTGGATACGTGTCAACATTTCCTGCAACCATGAAGAAGAAGTCCAGTCTCAGTTTTACCTGTGGGCAGATCTGTCGCAGAAACACGTCCCTGTCTACGTCTGTGAATATGGGAACAGGTATCTTCTCCTGGAGCTCCATTTAACTTTGTTTTGTTCACCAGCTACTCAGTGAACAACTGAACTCCCCCGGTGTTACATTGTTAGTGTTCCCTCTAGAAACAAACAAAAAAAAAATAACAGGTGAAAGTCGAGTGCTAAAAACAAAATTGCTTATTAATAAATAAATTAAGTGTTCGTTTAATGAATGTTATTCATGGCATCCTAGTCCCGGCATTTTGTTGCATTACTATTTGTATTTTTAAAATATGCTATTTGTTCCTTTCCGGAAAATACAAGTACACAGATAAGAAGACTTCCGACAGGAATTGAAAGATGGCGCTGCCCATGTTAAGAGGTTGTTACAGGTTTCCATCAACACTTAGCTTTACTCGTCTGTTTTCAAATGAACGTATCATCCTGAACTGGTCCGGTAAAACGCGGTCACCTCCTTCATCACCGGCCGGTGCGGCAGCAGCTGTCCGCCCCTACAGCTCCGAGCGGGGCAGAAAGAAACAGACCCAAAAGATTGTGATGGTGGGTATCCCGAACCCCTTCATCTGGTTCCGCACCCGGATTTACTACTTCCTCATCAGAACTTACTTCGATAAAGAGTTCAACATTGAAGAATTTGCGGAGGGATCGAAGCAGGTCTGTCAAACCTGAGAAGTGCAGATGTATTCAGTGTTATTCATGTGTCATTTTAAGCCTTAAACCTCAGTGTGAACCGTGTTCATGAGCTGTTGTTGATGAGGACGTTGTCTCCGTGTTGCAGGCATTCTCCCATGTTTCCAGACTCCTGTCACAGAGTCAGTTTGAAGCTCTGGAAGGGCTGGTGGCTAAAGACGTGAGTACCCGCACATAGTCCTGATGTCTCCATCTCTGCTGTGTCTTAACAAAGATACACTCAGTGTGACAAATCCTACAGCACATAAAGGCAACAAACCACTCACAGTGACAGTGAAGAGTTTCATGTTGAAGCAGCAGCTGATTTTTCAGATTCCCTCATCACTCAGAGGTTTACATGAGGGCTTTTACATAGCAGACACTTTGGCCTGTCATGGTAGGAAAAGCACAGGTGTAATTTGATATTCTCTGTAATCTTATTTCACATATTCAGAGGCTAGATTCTTGTACCATATTCAAATGGGTGTTTTTGAGAACATATTAATATTTATAGTATATCCTACCTTTATTTCATATTTTATGCTTAAATAGAATTGAGAAAACTATATATATGAGGCCAACTGGAATAATTATTTGTCTTTAACTAAATGAAATAAACTAGTATTGTATTCTCAGAATATTATAATGTCAGAATATGTAAATGAGTGCATGTGTGTGTGTCATAGTGAGCTCTAGAGGGTTGAATCAAAACAGTCAGAGTCTCTGCAGACTTCACAGACTCTCCACCTGAACATGCTGCTTTGTCATTTGTCGTCACCCTGACTCTTCAGCTTGTTCTGTAGTGAGATATACAGCAACATATTCCTCATGGAGTTCATGGAGGGCGTGTACAGACCCATCAGGGTGCTGTTCAGCAAAAGCACTTATTATACAGAAACAGATCATTTCTGTATAATATACTTTATATCAGTGGATTATAATTATTGATGCATTAATAGGCTCAAGGGAAGAGCAACAAAAGTGCTGTGTTTTTTTTGATACACCTACATAACAAAGAAACCAGTAAATAAATTAGATGAACTGAGATGAACCGAAACCTCCAGTGTTTTCATCTAGAATCTTGTCAAGGTTTAAAATATCTCTAATCTAATTCTCACGTTTTTGCAGTTGATTGGGAAGCTGGAGGAAAAGTGCAACCTGCTGCCACTGAGCTACAAGCAAGCCCTCTCTGCAGATCCTGATGAGATCATGTACACAACACCTGGAGATGTGGGAATCTACTATGATGATAATGGTCAGCAAGAAAGAACTTAATTCATTTGGCCACACAATATGAGGAAGAAGATGATTTTTCTTTATTGTCATTCTTGTTGCAGCATTAATCAGAGTCATTACTGTTTTTCCAGGGAGAAAGTTTGTCAGTATTCTGATGCGTTTCTGGTACCTGACCAGCGCACACCTTCCTGACGACACCATGGAGGGAACTCGCATCTTCCAGGTGGCCATTGGTGAAGAGGTAGAAACGAAGAGACTGCTGACCGCTAATTATGAGTGAGTATATCTCTCTTGTTTGTTTGAAATACTAAAGGAGCAAAGTGTTTCTGTGACGAAGAATATCCTCCTGATCTTTGTTTTCCTGACAGATTCCAGAGGGAGTTTACTAAAGGAGTGACACCAGACTGGACCATTACGAGGATAGAACACTCCAAACTTTTGGATTAAGCTGGTTGTGATTTGAGGCAGATGAACCTCAGTTGTTAGTGGAAACTACTCAAAAGACATGAAATTCTCTGTAGTATTTTGTTTTGCAAATTGAGGACGAAACAAGATGATCAAGATTATTCACAGAGGGAAAACAAGACACAGCTCCTGGGCAGGAAGTCAGAGGAAACACCAGGACAAACTTGGATTCATCCACTCTTCACTGATGCTCTCCAAGACATCTGCAGTATGCCAGTGTTTCTGATTGTATTCTTCACAATCTCTAATATCCTAGAAACTGATGATTAGAACTTGATTAGGTCTGTAAACTTACTTTGGAAGGTTTTGTGCTTTCAGGAATAGAGGAGTCAAATATTATATACTCACAGCCTTATTTGAACTATTACATAACACCAGCTGCGTGGGGTTTACTGCAAAAGACTTAACAGCATAAGCTGATTGTCCTGATGCAATAAACGCCTCCAGTCCAATACTCCAAGCAAACACTGAGGATTATTTTCTGACTCTATCTGACCCAACTCTGATGATGTGATTTTAAAAAATGCAATGAGATGTTTTTTTTTTTTCATCAGTCTTAGCTCTGCTGCTGCTGCACACTTTCATATTTAAATGCACAACGTCTTCAAAGGTAAAAACAGTCAAAGACTTGTTTTGACATCATAAACAAAATGTGAAATCTCTCCCTCAGACAAAACATGTTTCATGGAGACTGACTGGTTCCTGATACTGTATTTCCCAGTAGAGAACTTTTGTTTCTCTAGGTATAATTTTAAATTATATATAAAGGTGTTACACTTCAATGTGCCTGACTTTGTGTTCCACAAAAAATGTCTTTCATTGTTTTCCCCACACAGAATAACTGATCTGTTGCAGTCATGTGACTGAGATGTACATGCAGTGTATGTTCTGAATGTTGTTTGTAATGGTTGAAGCAGCTTCATGTGGCTGCAGCAGGCCTGTGATTGTTTTATTAAAGACTTGAGAAATTAAGTATGTGCCATAAACTTCCTGCAGTATTTTCTACACTCAACATTTATTGTGTTTATGTATACAGTAGCAAGAAAAACAATGTGTGCCCTGTGTTTTCTGCATTAATTGGTCAAATGTCATAAAATGTGAGCTCAGCTCCATCTAAGTCACGAATGTAGACAAATACAATATTCTTAAGCTAATATCACATAAACAGTTATATTTGTGTGTGTCTTTCAACCTTAGTTTCATCAGTCCTTTTTCTTTTGAAAATGTGTAGGAACATTATCCACATGAATAAGCATGAACATACTAAATATGTTAATAGTTCATCAGAATAAGCATATGTAAAAACAAATATACAGTTTATAAACCAAAGGAAAATAAAACAAAATCAAAAAGTATATAACTTACCTGGGGATAAATTTAAGGTATAACGTTAAACGAAAATAATGTAAGCAAGTATTATATGTCTTAATTGCTTTTCTATTTGTACTTGTAGAAATGGTGGATATATATTATTTCAATTTTCTATAGTCAAAGCAGAAAAGAAATTTGAATACTTACTCTAATGGATGTGAAATTATGCATGAGAAAATAAGAATTATTAAATAAAACTTACAGTTTCATCAGTCCATAAAACAATTTCCAATATATAGCACGTCACTCGCTGTTTGCTCTCCTATTGGTGCATTTTCTTAGTGCTGTCCTACCATTGGCCGAGCAACCTGCCAATCACCGCAGTTTGTATAGTATGTAGTTCCTGTTGTGGGGTTCAGCCGGTGAGAGTGACAACCTGTTTGGTGTCTTCCCCGGCAGGGAGCTCGCAGTATCCAAAGCTGAAACATGGAGGCTGAACACCTGTGATATCAAAGAGCGGGAGTCAGACCTGAACCATGAAACTCGCCGCTGTGGCCTTTTACGGTTTCGCTCTGGGGCTTTTGGCGGTTGGCCTGCGAGAGCTGCTGACTGGCTTCGAGGAGAACAGATGCAGTATGACCTATATGTTTGAATACCCAGAGTACCGGGTGAGTAGACATCCAGGCTCATTTTTGTGAGGGAAATAGCCACAAATTAGCTCACAGAGCACCGTACTATCGCGTTGTTTCCGGTAGAAGCTAAAAAAAAAAAAACATCTCGCTAATTGGTTCGTTTACTTAGTTGAAACCAGAACAGGCAACATTAATTAACACTGTTAAGCGTTTTTAAATCCATTTCCTTAAATCATATCTGCTAATATTACCTGGCAGACACAGTAACATCAGGTGCGGGGCTGTGCTACCTTACAGCCAGACTAACGCATTCCCCCAGTGGGCTCTGTTTACACCTGTGAGGCTGGAGGATTCAGAGTAGATTAGCCAAAATTATCCAGGTTGTAAAACCATAAATCAATCCCTGATCCCTGAATCCTCTCAGAAGGTCACCAGCAGATCAGCTTTACAAGGAAGGGACGTGTGTTTGTGAGATGTTTAGTAATGAATGCCCTGTAGGTCACCCTCCTTTGCTCTTTATGCTCACTAATGTGCTCATCTGTGGAGCACAGCTGGAGGCAAAGCACCATATGGACATCAGTATTACTTCATACAGGAGTTTATGCTGTTTTTGTTCTGGTGTAAGGGAAGGAGAAAAAGAAGACCCTATATATCTATAAATAGTCTTGACACTTGTTTATATGGTTAATGGACATGGTCTCAGGAGTCAGGGTCAGCTCAGTATTAGAGGTTGTTATAAATACAGGCCAGAGGGCACAGGAATAAAGAAACTATAATGCATTATTATCTGACAAGTGTAATATGTAAAGTAAGATGATAAAAACTACAGAGATGAAAACCAAATTTTATAGAGCTATCACACAGTAATTAGTGTAAGAAATCATGATGTGAGGTGATACATATGATTCTGGTTATTGCAATAATCAAAGGTTGAGTGTCATTGTTTTCTCATCTACTTTACAGGGAAGTTACACTGTTTAAGATGAATTGACCAGTATTATGATATTTATCCATTTTACAGAAAATACTGAAAAATGACCATCACAACTTTTTCCTGATCCTGTGACCCGACTTGGATCAGTTGACTGATAATTTCAGGTCTCATTGATATTTCCCAGCCACAGATGTAGTATTACAGCTGTACAGTAGATGAACCACTGCCTATAACAAAGGTCTGATCATTTGTTGCGCAGATAAAGAGAGAACTGTACCAGGAAATGATCAGGGTTGATGTGATCTGACCTCACATTTTTACTATCACTTCTCACATAAAACCAAAAACATGTATTAAGAGTAAGTGTGACAAAAGATTAGGGAAGTGTATGTGAATGTAAACATAGAACTTCATCTCCTCATCCACGTTGGGTTCACAGCGTGTGGCTCTGCCTCGTCGTGTTGCCAGACTGTACCCAGCGTACGGGCTCTACCTGTACGGAGAGGGTCTGTACGCCCAGGAGACCCGAGCGCTCAAACTCACCGGTGCCCCTGTGCTCTTCCTGCCTGGAAATGCTGGAAGTTATAAACAAGGTGAGTGCAAAGAGTTAACGGCGGCTGTGTGAAGACGTCCCATGACAGATTTCAGGTCACACATTTAAGTCTGAAACTAGCAGTAGGGAGAAAATAAGGTGAGTGGAAGTTGAGCATTACAACTCTGAACAGCAAAGACATTTGAAGGCACAGCCAGGAGGAGGGGACTCTTTCCAATCAGTGAATGTGCTGAGGCGGTTTGAGGACATTTAGATGGCTTCATGCTTTTTGTTGATTAGTCTCCACACACAGTTTTGCACACAAGCCCTTAGTCATTTGAGACAGTGGATGTTATAGCTTTACATATCACAGAACTCAGGTTTCCACAGACTGTTATTGTGTTTGTGATGCTGGAATTTGGATTTCACATGTTAACATTAGATGATATTTTAATCTTGGAAAACTGGTTTTTGTAGCCATTTTAAAACTGTGTTTTTTTCTTTTTGCTGCTGTAAGATTCTTGTTGTATCATTTTAATGATGCTCTTATGGGCTTACATTAGGGTCAATTAGATTTTGAGCTTGTAAAGTGATGTTCGGACATAATTGTAAAGTTTGTAGTCGTAAATCGACCTTTGCAAATCTGCAAACTAAATCTATGTGAGAAATTCAAGTGCATGTGGAGAAAAGAGTAGTATTAGTACAAAAAAGTGACTCTGAATAAAATCTGAACAAATGTTGAGGTTACACAAAGGCACAATGAAAGAAGCTTTTGTGAACATGTGTGTACAGATACAAAGCAAAAAAAATGTGTGTAAAACTCAGCACTTAACGTTCCTGTCTAATGTGTGGTGTATGTGCAAACTAAACCCACCTGGGTTGTGGAAGAGCCTGTGCCGTCGTCCATCTTGAAAATCTACTCCACCTTAACGGAGCTCCTCTGCCCCCTGATCGGTCTCTGCTTTGTGGTTGGACTGTAGTTGTCCAGTCAGATCCCTGTGTAAAAACAGGATCAAAATTTGTACTTGAAACTTCGGCATCACAAACACAGTGCTGAGTTTTACACTTTAGTTTTCTGCTCTGTATCTGTACACAGATGTTCACAAAAGTCTTGTCTTCGTGTAGCCACTGATTTCATTTGTTCAGATTTTATTCACAATCATTTTTTAACTAATACTACATGCACAAACTTGAATTTCTCATGCAGATTACTTTCACAAGCTCAAAATCTTATTGAGCCTAATCTGAGCCTATAGACTCTGTAAAGCCACGGGTCACAGGCCAACAAACAAGTCAGTGACCTACACTGTTGTACTGGATGACCTGTTCCTTCATTATCACACACACTCACAATGTACATGTAGTGTATTTTTAGTCAGCCCCACAAACACCGTTCTGCTGCTGTAAATGCTCACTAAGCACTAAATGTGGATTAGTCCATGGCTGAAAATAAATGCACTATTTTCATCTGATTACATAATGTTTGTGCCCAGCTTTTTTTAGGAAATTACAGAGCCTTTTTTAAAAATGAAACTATATATTCATGACCCACCATGACTGAGCTGGCTGACGCGACTAAAAAGAAAGAGACAAACAGACTGTTTGTTTTTGTCTTTTAATAGGATTTATCTACAACAAATAATCACGGACTAATCCCTTTGTCCTTCAATATAGGCTTTAATAAAGGCTTAAAATGCAGATGAGTTCCATTTAATCAAACATCTTGATTATTATTGTGATTATCAGGGTTTATATGTTAATTATACCAAATTAGGTTTTGTCTACCTAATAACTGAGCCGTGCGCTCCATGGTACATGGTGTTGAGATTATACCTGCCCCCTGTTCTTGCTATCAGTCGTGTGTAGGTGGAGAACACCCGCGCTTTTATTCATGTGAAGACAAACACATTTTGCACTTCACTGTTTGTGATGATTAAACAGTTTGTTTTTTTTTTGTCTCACATTCACACTATTCACAACAATGGATTTTTGGCAATAGCTGTTGTTTGATGAGCTTCATAAGTTAAACAACAGCGTGATGAAGCACCAGTGGCAGATCAGATGTGAGTGCTGCTGGGAGGTTTCAGGGCTCTGGTCTTACAGGGAAATGGTGTAGCCTGTGTAAATTTAATGAGCCTTTTTTTAACAGGAAAGTGAGTATTTTCTTTTTAGGTCACGAACAGCTGCCTTGATGATCTGAAGCAGCTCAAGACACGATGGCTCGAATCAATAATTCAAAATATTTAAAAAATAATCTGCGTGTAAGAGCTGTGCATTGATAATTATAGCGGCATGTCAGTTTGCAAAGTAGCATGAAGGCTGAGCATATGGTGACCTTATGATTTGACACTTGTCTTCTCCTCCTCATGAAGCTCGCTCCCTGGGCTCGGTGGCCCTGAGGAAGGCTGAAAACATGGAGGGAGGTCTCCACTTCAACGTGTTCACCGTGGACTTCAACGAGGAGCTGGTGGCGCTTTACGGTGGCAGTTTGCTCCGGCAGACTCACTTCCTGCATGAAAGCATTAAGGCCATCCTGAGGCTGTACAAGGTCAGGCCTCAAATATCATCCACTGGTCAGACAGGGTTACTCACACTAGATCACGGATATTGCTGCAGGGGTAACATTTCACTGTGGAGGGATACATATCACACACATCACATCTCATCACCTTCTACATTTACATCTTAGGCATTTAGTTAATCCTTCTGACCTGCACATGAAGCAGTAATGAAGAAGTCAGGCAACACCAGAATAAACTAAAATTCCTGAATGCCAACATTACAACATTACAACAAAACATGCCGTTAACATTAAGTACAGTATCATATACTCCAGTGGCCATTAAATATTTATGTCTGTATACCTACAGGGGATTATTAGTAAGTCACATGGGTTTAAACTGTAACATGTGAATCTGCCAGCACTGCTACAGGGGTGGTTTTTATTGGGATAAATGCTAGTTAGCAGTGTTTGCCAGAGGTAAAAGTAGTCTGGCAACCAGCGCAGGGATATTAAGGTTTAAAAGAAGTAACAGAAGTCCAATGAGGTCAGATCATTTCTGCTCATACCACAGGTGCATTGACAAAAAAATAAATGTACAAAGTAGGGCTCAACGATATGCAAAAAAAATCATATTGCGATTATTTTGGCAGATATTGCAGTTGAGATATGAATCACAATTTCAGTTGGAATGGTCAGTTTTACATTTTATTTTCACTGAAACAAATGACAATGTGATTTTTGTTGGTCTTGCACCAAACAAACATGTTCCTTTACACCTGGAGAATATGATATGTAGGCTGGGCGTCTCTGTATCACCACAATGCTTCATTTATGGTCTGTTGTGACACATTTTACCTTTTATCAAAAAAAAAAAATTGCAGCTCGTTTGATTTCGATAATAATTTGATTAAGCATTCAGCCCTACTACAAAGTGATTTAGTTAGGGATCAAAGGAGCAGTTTTTTAAAAGTCATGACAACTAATGTCAAACACAAAGGACAAGCTCAAAGAGAAGCGGAGGTCACAAACAGGAGCCGTTACTGCATGAAAATACTAGGTCCTTCATTTTTCTAACACTTTGTGGTAAATGTCGAACCCTAAAGCCAATAAGTGGGATAAATGGTTATATAGAGCTTTTCTAGTCTCAGAGAACACTCAAAGCACTTTACAATACATGCCACATTCACCCATTCACACACACACACCCATATACACACACTCATACACTGATGAGGCATCAGCATCTTGCCCAAGGACACTTTGACGTGAAAACCGGAGGCTTCTGATTAGTGGAGGACCCACTCTACCTCCTGAGCCACAGCCATCCCAATACGTGGCTTAGGGTTAGAGATTAAACAGTCTGTTTTCTCTCTGTCTCTGCTTCCCAGCATCTGAAGACCCCTCCCCAGAGTGTGGTACTGGTGGGTCACTCCATGGGAGGAGTGGTGGCTCGGGCGCTGTTCACGTTGCCTCGCTTCAACACAAACCTGGTCAGCCTCATCATTACCCAGGCCTCTCCTCACCTGGCTCCAGTACTGGCCCTGGACCCATACCTGCTGGGTACGAGCAACTCTCTCATGCTTAGTCTTAAAAGCTACATTGACACCGTGTGCTCTGAGTTATGTCCTGAAAGATAACAGCCGATTACACTGATTATTTACATACTTTCAACCAGAGAGGAGGAACTAATCAGTGAAATCCGCCGCTGTGTTGTTCAGTGGTTATGATAACCAGCACTGAACTTTAAGACTCAGGTGTGGTCTGTTTTGTTTATAAATGTGGAATTGACTCATTTGTATATATGAATATAGAAAGATCTGGATGAATTCTTAGAAATGGTGGGTATTTTCCTCTTTGTAGATTTCTACTCTGCAGTGAGACAGAAGTGGGTGAACCGGGCAAACAAGCTCAGAAACATCACAGTCCTGTCTGTTGGGGGTGGTTACCGTGACTACCAGGTCCGCTCTGGCCTAACGTCCCTGCCTTGTCCTCCGGGAGACCCCAATAAGTTGTCACTGGTGGTAAGATTTGATTGTGGATTGGTTAAGCAGCACTATGACTGGACCTATTTCCACCACAGGAACTTTTCCAGGAACTCAGGGAGTTTTTTAAGAACTGAGCAACTTCACCTCCATTTAACTGAAGGGACGAAGTCACAATTTAGTTCCTCTTGTACAGTTTCCACCTCTTAAAATAAAACCCTTCTCTGGGATCTAGTATTATTGCCTTGTTAGAAGCAATGACAGACAATATTAAATATTCATGGGACTATATCAGAGAATTAAAATGTAGATTGTGTTTGATCTGGCACTTCTCTCTTCTTTTTTCTTTTTTTTTTTTTTAGGCAACTGCAGTTCCCAGGACGTGGGTCTCCACTGACCACCTCTCCATCGTTTGGTAAGACATGACATTATGTTTTGGCCAACTGTTTACCTATCCCAAAACATGTTAATCAGGTTATTCATATGTCACGTGTGTTTCTTTGTGTTCTAGGTGCAAAGAGCTTGTTCTTGCGACCGTCAGGGCGTTCTTTGATCTCATCGATCCTGAAACCAGACAGGTCAGAACAAACACACATTGATGTACATGTTTTGGGGAAAGAAAAAAAAAATCTTTCTGTAAAAAATGTTATAAGAAGAAATAATGAGGAGTATTTGTCATAGAACAAAGAAGTTATTTTGCAGAGGCTTGTGGGAGTCCTACACCCACCAAATAATCAAAGCCATCATCTCTGATAAACATCCTGTGCAAGCCCATGTCAGCTGTTTCCAAGCTAATTAGTGTTTTCTCATTAGTTCACAGAAAACCCGGAGAAGAAAATGGTTGTGCTAAACCATCACTTCATCAGACATCCTGTCAGGATGTTGGGAGAAATTCAAGACACTTCCATTTCCATCTTAGGTCAGAGAGAAACACTTCACCACCATCAGGCTGCAATAAACACATTTAGTTATATATTGATTTATTTATTTACAGCAGTATCCTGTTCATGCCTCTTCAGTCATTTTCATTAACTTTATGAAGCAAAGTGAACTGTAGTTTTGACTAAGTAAGAATCACTCATATTTTATTACATGTTGTTCAGTTCTTTCCCTTTGTCTGTGTTTTTCTAGATTTCCCTGAAGCGTGGAGTGAAGTGAACACACTGCGTCTGGTTTACAGCACACCAAAGGTATCAAACATTGCATCAAAGTAATAAATGAACTCCTACATGCAGTGGAAATAGTTGAGGACTGCACTGGAGATTTTCAGCCAGATACATTTTTATATATTAACTGCTTTGCTGTAGCCCTTTTACTGAAGCAAACTCATCTAATACAACTAAATGCAGTAATGCAGCCTAACGTCTAGTTGTTTGACTAATGATCTAAGAAAACAAAGCCCTGATACAGACAGAATAAAAATGTACCAGTTGTTGTTGTACCAGAGTGTCGCTCTGTGTCTACAGGAAGGACAGGTCAAATATTTCCTGTTTGCTCTGTCGAGTCGGAGGAAAGCCTACAGCCATTTCTACTGCCGCAGCAACAACCTGGTGAGTTCCACCACTGTTATGTTGTCATTTGTTGTGTTGTGTGTAGATTTCACTCAGTAGTCCATAATGACATAATAATGAAGGGAAAACATGTTTTTAAAATTTTGCAAATTTATTAGAAATAAAAATCTCAAATCTTTTATTTATGAGATATTCAGACCCTTTCCTGTAGCTACAAACTGTGGTCTGTGCTTCCTGTTGGCTTCAGTTATCCTTGAAATGTGTCTACAACTTGATTGAGTCCACCTGTGGCAAACCTCATGAATTGTGGGACCATATATATATATATATATATATATATAGGTATAGGTATGTGTCTCTTCTAAACTATGTCCAATCAATTCAGTTTGCCACAGGTGGACTCCAGTTTAGTTGAAACATCGTGAGGATAATTAAAGCAAACATGATGCACCAGTTGCCACAGCAAACAGTCTGAATACTTTTGTAAATGAGAGATTGAAGTTTCAGATTTTTAATAAATTTGAAAATATTTCAAAAAAGAAAAGAGATGTTTTCAGTTCTCAGCAATTTAATCCATCTACAGTTAAATCTACAACATGAAATGTGCCAAAATTGAAGGTGCATGAAGCCACTGTGCATATGAGTAAATTAAGTAAAATGAAACGGGAGTTTAGTCTGATTATCAGTGTACTGTTTAGCTGTTGAAGATTGAAATGTCACACATTCAGTGAAGCCAGAGGAATTTATTTGTTCTGTACATTTTTTTTTCTGTACAGAAAAGTAAATCTGTTGTACTGTTGTTGTCCAACAGGAGATGACCAGCTGGGTGTACGGCTGCATGCACAAAAATGGTTCTTCATGGTAAGAATATGATTGTACCCACTTATGTCTTTAATCAGTATCTTAATTTTGCAGTTATCACTGAGAAAAGGTCATTTCTCTTGTGGTTATGTCGGATCTGTACATTTCTATTGTGCTTCATTCATGTGCTTTGAAATTTCCAGTGTGCGTGCTGTAGATCTGTCTATGGGAACTGAGCTTCTGCCTCCATACAAGGTAACTCATCCTGGAGAGACGCTGCCCAGTCCAGTCTGAACTGCTATTGGTCGCTGCTAACTGTCTGTGATCCTCCTCAGGTCCTGATTCTGAGTCTCAGCGACTTGTCTTCAGTCACTCATCTGGTTGTTTCGGCTTCCAACCTGAACGGTCGACAGGTACTTGAGACAAAATGAGAAGTCGCTGGTCTCTGGATGGATGATATGGTCCTGCTCTCTTTCTCCTCCTTGTCTGTGTCTCTGGGCTGCTGTAGGGGAGCAAGAGTACAGCCATGCTTCCAACTAGAGCTGAACAGTTAATTGAAATATAATCAAAATCATAATATGGTCAAGTGCAATATCCAAACCGCAGGAGCTGCAATTTTTTAAAAGTTTTTTTTTTTTATTAAAGTAAAATATATCACAACATACCATTATAAATGAAGCAGTGTGGTGATAGAGAGCTTGTTCGCTACAAGCCCCAGCAAAAAATGACATCATGATCACTTTTATATATTTTATATCGTTCAGCTCTACCACTCTGTGAGGGTGTACATAGGCACAGAGAGCTAACTGCTAACATACGCACATTAACAATACTAACATGCTGATGTTTAGCAGGTAATGTTTACTACTTATGATCTTACTTCACTATCTTAATTAAGCATGCTAGCATCTAGCAAAGCGTCTACCTAGTAAAGCACAGCTGAGGCTGATGGGAATGTCGACCTCATGGTGATGCTACAGACAAAGTATGGGAATCACCAAAATCATTAGGATACATCATCTGGAATCCATGAGTGTTTGTGTAAACTTTGTTTTCACTTTTGTGTCAGTCACAGACACTGGTAGAATCAGTGGGCTCAAATCACCTAAATAAAGTGTTGTTTAAAAGGCTGAGACAACCCAGCAGATGTGGCCAGAAAAACAGTTTACGAAGCAGAAACAGAAGTTTCCCATACTCTGAATCATCAGCCATGTTCATTTATACAAATGACAATACAAGATGTGTCTGTTCCACAGTTTACGGTGGAGTGCGAGTGGCAGAGACAAGAATCTCAGACTCTGTCTGTCCCAGCTCCACATGTCCTGTCCTTCGGTGAGTTGACTTACTTTTGATGCTGATTCTCAAACCTCCAAATGAAAAGAGACACAGTCCTTCTTAGTAACTGTTTGTTTGGCAGGTTTGACTGTCAGTGATGTTACGGTCAACTCCTCTGGACTTCTTCACACCATCGAGCTGCAGCACTTTCACCAGGTAGCTTTCAGAGCTTTATTTAATGCTTGCTAGACTCGGGATCCTTCATTCCTACTGTGTCACTAAATTTTTATCACTGCTGTGTCTTCAGGTGTATCAGGCTTTCAGAATTAATGTTGCAAGCCAGTGCAAAGTCCATAAAGGTAAGTTTGTACATTTTTTCATACGAAGACAGACGCATGTGCACATGCAGAAATGTGATATAACTCTTGTATTTCTGTCTGCAGATAGATTGTCCAATGTGTACAGAATCATGGTACCCTGGTTTCGAGAGGACTCTTTAACCACAGTCAGGTGAGTTATGTCAGTGTCTGTCTCCATGGCTATTTACATGACTTATTTACTCTTTCTGTCATGACTTGATGTGATCTGTTTGCCAGTGTGCCCTCAGTTACTGAGATCTCAGGGATGCTCCACACAAGTCGTCCAGACAACACTTCAGGTGTCCTCCTTCAGCTCCACACTGCCCCCAACTGCCAGTATAAGGTACTGCTCTTAGCTGCAGCATCTGTCTTTCACACTCATCATGTAAAATATTGTTTTTGTCATTCATTTGGATATGTAAAATCAATCATGTTTACCCTCTGGTTCAGGTGTCAATAAGGACTTCATTACCCAGGGTGCTGGGACAGGTACAACAACTTTCTTGTGTTTGTTTGGGTAACATCCCAGATCAGGGAGACATTTTCAAACAATCTTGAACTATTTTTAAATAACAATGACAACTACACATACATTTATTGTTCTTCATGAACAAACAGTGATTCAGATAAAGCTCAGGTCTGATCCTCTCTCTCTCTCTCCTGGCAGATACTGAGGTTCTGTGGTCCTATGGTGCCAGTGTACACAGCTGTAACTCTCCTCCTGGCCTGTGGGGGGCAGCTGTCCTCCATCCTGAAGTCTAGGCGAGCTGCAGCCATGAGCCAGGTGGTCGGCAGAGGCCTGCAGCCTCATAAAGTCAACCTGCCCCTTTATGTTCTGCACATCTTACTTAGGTAGGCATTGGAGGAGTAGAGTTGAAGGAATGAAGGAATGTTGAAATATGGAAGTTCTCAATCCCTCCAGCCTTCTGACTTCAGTATGGATGTTACATGATAATACCTGAATAATCCTCCTGTCCCTCCCCTCAGCTGTAGCTGGTTTCAAGAGGTCTGGTCCATTCTGTGCCTCCCCCCTATGGATGCCCTCCCCCCAACATTCCCTGATGCAACGTTTCATGAAGGCGTGCTACCAGTTGAAGAATGGCCCCACCTCCTTTCCCCTCTGCTTTACATTTTGGGGGCAGCTGTGGCGTACTGGGGGAGCACGCTGCTCTGTCTCATTATGCGAGTGATCTCATTAATATTAGCTCCACTGCACAGGTATGGTTGGACATTTAAACACTGAGGTATGTGATTTGAAACTGTAATTGAATGGTCTATTCTTAAATGGCATCTCAACATCTTTATCTGACCTTAATTTCCTCTTCATCTGCAGACCGTCTGTCTCCAGAGATTGTGGCACCCTGCGACTGCGGACCCAGCTCCTCATCACCCTCTGTCTGACTGTTCTGGGCGGGACGTCCTGTGGAGCATTGTCAATCTTTGCTGCTTTTCTGCTCCACCTCTACAGAGTGAGTCTTAAAGGGATAGTTTAGGTTATTTGACGTGGGGTTGTGTGATGTACTCATGAATAGTCGGTACATTACCCACAGTAGATTCTGTTCAGCACGATCCCAGTTAGGGAAGCCGACCGGGGCTCCGGCAGAATAGCAGAGCGATGTGCTGCTGTGCACGGGGCCACGAGTAAAAACATGACTTAAACTAAAAACGCCCACTGAAACAATCCAATATCCATTCAAATGTAAGCTTCATGTAGAATATTTTCAGCCTAACCTTAAACAGCACTTACCTTTGGCACTACTGAACTACTGTATTCCTACGCACAAGTGCACCTACGGAGCGCACTGTATTACGCTGCAGCAGCAGGTCAGCTGAGTGAATCAGAAAGCAGAATAAATCAGAGTACCTCAGACAACACCACGTCAAATAACCCGAACAATCCCTTTTAAGATGTAATGAAATTTAAAAAAAAAAAAAAAAAGGTCGTTCACAGGTGGTTTTTGCAGAGTAGCATCAATAATTAAATCAGTACAAATATGATATTGACTCTATTTATCCCTTGTTGTGTCAATAGGTAAAGCACACACAAGCTTAAAATGTGCTAACTATCAGTAACTTTAAAGTATTGATTAAAATGCCTCTGTTACACCATTCACCTATCAAAATATTGCAAGCACAATTTCTTCTGGTTATGTTTGTTTTGTTCTGTTTCCATTGCACACTCAGGTACTGAGGTTACAGATGACAGAAAGGTCTTTGAGTCACATGCTAAACCTGGTAAGAAATATTTAATTTTGTTGCAAACCTGATAAACTAGCATCTGAGGGTTATATGAGTTAAGACGTGGTGTGAATGCAGAGCCATGGTTCAGAGTTCTTTACAGAATACACACACTGAACATTTTTATTCGTTTGTTGAATTAAACTTGGAGGTTTTTCAATTCTTCCACGATCTTTCCAGGCACCGCGGAAGCACAAAGAAACTGAGAATGGCACAGTCGATGCTGAGTGCTTGGACAGGTCTAAAGAATGTAACGGCACCCCCCTGCTGTCAGAGTGTGCTCTGCAGGAGGTGAGGGATGACCTGCAGCTCCACCTCTGCCTATCAGCACTCTTCACGCTGCCTGTCATGCTCAGCGCACCATCACTCATCCACTGGATCCGCAACCTGAGGTACAGTATTAACATGACATGAACAGAGTATATGAGAGACAGTTAAAGGACCTTCCCTGCTGAAGTGCCTCTGAGCAAGACACTAAAGCCTGTCTTTATTAGAGAGTATGTTAATTATTATCCTGTTTCTACCAAAAATGCTAATTAGTGCCACATATTTATGTAAAAATAATATAAATAATAAATAAAAGAACAGAGCGGCCACAGCAGTTTCTGCTGCTGATTCATCAGGACCCCTAATGCAAATCAAGTCACCTGCAATTAAAAGTTAGACCACCTGAGGTGTACCCATTACCCCACATCCCACATTTTATGTATGCAGCTCCATGAATGCATCCTTAAAATGCTTGTAAATACAGCTGGTGAATTTTTAGTTGCAGCACGAGCAACTGAACTTTACCTCTGATTAGGTTTGGGTGATATCGAAATATTTAAAGGTCCCATATAGTATAAAGGTAGATGTCCATGTGTTGTCTGATTATAAAGCAGGTCTAAGTATCAAAGCACTCAGTCCACAGAGAAATGCACACAGCCTGTATTCAGAAACTGAGCCTTAAAACCAGCCGTCAGGACTTCTGTAACTTTATGATGTCACAACACAGCAGTCAACGCCCTCAGCCATGCATGAAGCCTGGGTCACCTGGACCCACCAGCCAACCTTGCAGGATTTGGTTTCTCTGAATGTTTACCTGAAATCTACTATATTTTTATCGGATCACTCAGGAATCAGTCAGCCAATCAGAAGAGAGGTTCAGAGCCTCCTCTTTTCTGATTGGCTCACCGGCCAGTTGTTACTAGGGCTCCAGAAAGAAGCCTGAGAGAGGAGATGTAAAACTACACTGAGATGGTTTTTGGTTCTTAAAACCACAAATATATCTTCTTATGGATCTTATATAATAACAACAGGAGAAGAGGAAAATATGGAGCTTTAATCTTTAATCTTAATACAGTCCAGCCCAAAAAATCGCAATATACAATTTTATCAAAATATTTTTTAATAATACATAATAATGTTATTGTATTTTATGTTTCAGTTCTAAATAATGCTGCCACTTAACAACAGTTTAAAGTTTTATTTATCACCTGCCAAGGTCCAATGTACAGTAAGCAAAGCGGTGAAATGAGGGTGGGACATTCCTAGCAAAGTGCCACATCACTGTTCCCAATTATTGCATTCATTTCAAGTTTATTTAATGGTTATTTGTATAAAATATCTGGATGGAATGGCTTAAATGAGTTTCACTATATTATTTTTTCACTATACTATTTTTTCATGATCGTTTTATCACAAAATTACTGAAGTAAAGTCATATTTAATGTCCAGTGCAGTGGAGAGGTGGTACACAGGGTGAGGAATGGCATAAGAAATCTTGGTTTAACCTACGTTGTGATCCTCTACAGATACTCCACCCAGTTGGATCCTGACCCTTGCTGGCCACACATTGTGCCTCTAATTATTGTGTACATGCTGCTTATTAACTGCAACACTTTAAAACTCTGCAACAGGTAGGACCACACCATCACCAACACACACACACATTTCTTTGTTGAGCTTTATTATCCTGTAACCACTGAATATTAACTCTGCCTTGATCTTTTTCAGCAAACTCCTGCCTCTGACTTCCTGCCTCCCTCTGCCCTTGGCCATTACCATGGTGACCTTCTCTCCACTCCACCTCTACAGAGTCACCTACTTCCTGCTGGCGACACTCATCCCCCTGGCCTCGTGTTGTCTGCTCTGACGGTATCTGGCTGGTTTCAGTCTTCATCTCTACCATAACAAGCCTTTCTCTAAGTTACAGCCTGACTCACTGCAGCTGGTTCAGACTGATTTGTCCCAAAAAGACTTGATGTATCAAACTGCCATGGAGCAGAGCCATAGACATACATAGCTTGGGGAACTGCCTGCTCAATGTTAGCGCTAAAAGCTCCATGGCGATTACACTACGTGTTTAAATGAGAGGATGTAAAGGCCTTGGAGCATTTGGTGCAAATATGGCTCTGTTGGATTGACCTGAAACCAAGTTTGCCTTACTCTGTATATCTATAGCTCTGCCTTCAAGGAGCAAGAACTCCACAACCAGTGAAGCTACTGATACTAGAGATTCTCAACAGGGTGTTACTGTTAGTTTTTTTTTTTTTTCTCCCACTGTGGTCTCTATGCTGTGAACTCTCTCACTGCCTACCGCTTAGCAATGACTTACAGTTGTGTGTAACTGTTGTAGCGCTGCCGCAAAACCAGTGGCTGTGCCATAAATTCATTCCATAAGAAAAAATCCAAAGTAATCATGTTTACATTCTCTGTTGACCTTTTTTTTTTTTTTTTTTATTAATACACAACAATGATGATGGCGATATGAAGGTTTGCACTGGAAAAGGTTTGAGTACGTGTGCAGGTTCCAATGTGTCTCACATTATTCAGAAGAAGATTATGGTCTACTCCAAGTTCTCTACAAGACAGTGCTGGAGCTCAGTTTCATGAGGGTAATCAGACTGAAGTATGCAGTATCCATTACCAGCCGCAACAGCGTGGTTGGTATTGTTTTCACCTTGTGTGTGTGTGTGTGTGTGTGTGTGTGTGTGTGTGTGTGTGTGTGTGTGTGTGTGTGTGTCATCATGGCAAATTGTGGTCCTGGAGACACCTGCTGTAGCAGGAACTACCACGGAGGTTTTTAGGACTTTGGCAGGTGACTGTCTGTCTGTAGACAGATTTTGATACTGATGTGTCACAATCTGCAAGATACAGTCATGAAACTTTACAGGTGTGTAGTTGACATCAAAATGATGGCTGAGTTTGAAGATGGGTGTGGTCCAACCCATGAGTACTGAGTACTCATGCAATAATGTAGTTGTGGTTCTGTTCAGACCTGGCATGAACATCCGATCACAAGTGGCCAGCTCTTCAGGTGTGAACGCACCCGAGACTGGGACACTTTTGGGATGCAATCACTCAGACCACATTCAGAGGTGGTGTGGACCACATGTGGCCACATTGCTTTAGCAGTGTGAACATGAATGTGTCCTGAGCCACACTGAAGGACAGACTACTCTACTGACATCCTCTGACAGTCTGATTAGTCCCAACAGTTTCACCATCAACCCAAAATATTTTACTATTTCAATATCACAGGTGGTCACTTGAGACACGTGTGGAGACATTTTAATTCCAGGTCTGAAGAGGGCTAATGATTGCTGAGTACTCATATAATAATGTAGTAACCACTGAGTACACCACTGATCACAGCAGCTGCGACATTCTCACCCAGTACTCCTCGGCGAGAACGTTGCAGCTGCTTTGATCCCATCACAAGCTGGTCTCTAGTCTTGTGGTGCCACATAAATCTGTGTCTTATCTGTTGTTTATTATAGTGACTCACACTTTCATGTCCTCACTGTAGGAAATAGTGACTGCTAAATGGCTTGGGGCTTATCTAAAAGAAGCACCTAATAGTCTCATAGGCAGAAATAATAGTGACACATTTTTCTATTGGAGAGAAATGAGCCAAGAAATCAAATTATCTAAAATCCTCACATTGGTGGTGTGCATGTGTAAAAGCTTTATGTCTCCACTTTAACTAATCAAAACCAGTCCATCTCAGCCGCCCTGCATGTTCACCTGTTCACTTGATAAAGTCAACATAATGGACATGTTCACAGCACTAATTTCCTCAGTACAATTACACCATCATGTTATACTCAATCTCAATCTGAGTTTCTCTTTGTTCTTGTAAAACTACCTAAAAATTCTTGCACAGATATTTCAAATTAAAAGCTCACTAGTGGGTCATAATCCTTCCTTTTCCTCATTAGGTTTTTGTTTTTTGTTTTTTTTTGTTTTTTTTGAAAATGCAAGAAGCGTTTAGTTTCACTGCCTGTAGCTTAGCTTTGGTTAACTTTGGTTAAGCTACAGCAAATTAGGCAAAGTCGAAACAAATTTATCAGTGAATGAAAATAATATTTTTGATTTTCAAAAAGAAACTTGGTAGCACTGATAGAATTAACGCTGTTGATGTGCATATTATGTTGAACTTACCTGCTAAGAACTGTCCTCAGTGGTGTTGTGACAGTGCAGCAATAGTTTGTCACCAAAAAGTGTCCTGCTCCACCACTGCTTCAGTATCAGTAATTGATATTAGCTGATCTGACCACTCCTGTAAACCTGCAATCTCCCTGCCAGCTGCTGAATTGCAGGATAAAAACGAGCAGCTCTGAACAGAGTCGAGCTAACAGAAACATTTTGAATACACAGTCGCAAGCTAACTAGATGCTGCTCATTGTTGTCCTGGCAGGTCGCTGCTCAATCAGTCAACATCCAGCAACAGTAGTCACCTGTCGCACAAAAACAAGCAGCTGGCAGAAGCTGTACTTTATAGCCTATAATCTAATTCACCTCGTATGAGGCTGTGTAATATATGAATGCGTCCTCCGGAAGACGTCTTCTTTTTACTCATAGTGTCAACCAGTATTCATATATCATGTGATGTAGTGATGTAGATACATTGTGCACATACAATGTTGATAACTTTATTGCTCTGGGTCACAGTGGATGTAATTAGGCTGATCAAAAGAAAAAGACTTGAGTGTCAAAGTGAGAACAGATTTCTTTAGTTTGATCTGAATTAAACATAAAATATAAAAGAGGCTTTTGTAGCTGAAGCTTTTATTTTGACATTAAAGTATTAAGTATATATACTTCTGTTGATCAGTTTCAAAAACTCCTAATCGTGTCCAGGGAGAGTCAATGTTTTAAAACGGTACGAAGTTCAGAGGGAGGTGCACCAGTGTAACGTTTGATGCAGAAACCTCCATGTTACAAACCTGGTCCAGTCTGTCTCTTTGTGCCAAATTGGCAGCAATGCACACGTGTTGGCAGGTTAAATCTGATTACACTGAAAGTTAATGAGCTGATTGTGAGATAATTGTGCTGAGCAGACAAATTAGCGTACAGAGATGGAACAAATCATAAATATCCGTTGGGTTTTTATGTTATGGACACAGTCACATGTCGAAACTACAGACAAAGCCAAGGTTCATAATGACTTGTCATTACTTGTGGTTGTTGGTATTTTTATACAGTGGGTGTGTGGTGTTGTTGTTGCTGAAGCTTTGGCTCAGCGAAGTTTAAAAGGCAGACGGCTTACTTTGTCTAAGCCTGTTCAGTGTTGCAGCTGATTCACATGTACAGTACGAATCAAGCTTCAGGCTTTTAAAGGGAGAATTTAAACCTCAAGGCATTAGTGGAAATTGCTTTTGCTTTGTTCTGCTACAGTACTGGGGTTAATAAGGGAATTTTCTTCATGGTTACAGTTTATTAAGGTGTGGTTAGTTATCTTAATGGCCGGTGTACAGGTGAATATTAATGACCAAGGAGTCCACCACCTTTTGTCTTTTCAAATCAACTTAATTACTCTAAAACTGATCACAAATCTGCTGGTCTGAAGTCAGCCACACTTGAAGGAGTACAGCAAGTCTTGAAGTTAGAAGAACAAAAAAAAAAAAACAAACCTTGTGACCATTTGAATGTTATTTTTATTATGTATAAGAACACGTTGATTTCTTGCAGTTCCAGATTTTAACTGTTTAAACGCTATTAAGAAGACGAACCTGCAGTTGTTCTGTTTTTTTATTACTGTCAACAAAACCCATGAAAAGACCAAAATGGACGATGTGTAAGTCTTAACACTTCCTGGTTCCTTACCCTGTCTATGGCTCTCACCCACACTCACAGCTGTTAACAACTAGAATGGCACCTAGTAGAGCACAGACCTTCGCCAAGACCAAACAATCCTACACATGTCGGTCAGATCTGGATTATCATCTGGATCTGCACAACATTCTGCAAAGTCATAAATCTCGACACCATTAATATGTCTGATTTTGCACATCAAGACCCAAGCATTGTTTCCTGAGAACTAGAAAATATGATGATGCCACATCTCGCAATATTAAGGAAAGGGATTTAAGAAAATTCCTGGAGCTGCTGCTTTAACCAAAGTTGAGTTCTTCCCTGGCCCATGCTCCATCCCTTCACCAAGTTTGGTGCATAGTGGCACAGCAGTTTTTGCGTAGTCCCGCTGACAAACAAACAAACAAACAGACACAGGTGAAAACAACAAAGAAAGTAATTTCCCAAAACAGCTGGGAACTGTAGTTTTTAGCAAAATTTACTCAAACAGTAAGCAGTGTATTTACTGGGGACTATTTTCAGCTGCGGATTAATCCACATTTAGTGCTATACTGAGTATTTGCAGCAGCAGGAGAGTGTATGTGGAATTGAATCAAAAATAAACTAGAACGGTGCAACAGTGCGGCTAGTGGACAATAGTGGAGCTCTAACACTTACCAGGAATAATATCAAGCTAAAGGAAACACACACTAAACTTAAGGATCAATTCATTGTTGGTTTTGGTCTTTTTGTGGGGTTTGTTGACAGAACAGGACTTATCCTTTAATTCAAGGTATAAGAAGAGGACATAATATTTGATATCATGAACCTTTTGGATTTAAATGGAATGAATCAGATGGGAAATTCTGCCACCACACTTGTTTCAAACCATCATGTAGATTGTTGCAATGGAAACTGTTTCCTGTGTGGTGCAGTGTGTTGTGTGTTTTGTGTGTGGTGTGCTGTTATGGCATATAAGCCTTATGTTTTTTTTTTTTTCTTGCTTTTTTAATTCAGTTTTTGTTGCCAATGACTTTTTAAGCCGATTAACTGTTGCACTCACAATGACACTTAATGAATCAGTTTCATAAATCTATGTGATATATTAGATAATTTCGAATTAAAGAAAACAAATCATTTATACACAGGTGTTCTGACGTCAAAGATGAGCGGTATAGCTAATGGAGAGAAAATCTTCAGATGTCAGAATATCCATCCAACAGCTGTTAGATGAGACACCAAAACCTGATGGTTTAGTATCTGCTACGAGTTGACTTTTTGTTGTTTTTATTTTATTTTATACCTCTCTGTGTTAAAACTGTGTCTTACTGTTCTTGCTTTGTGTCACATCTTCCCGCTGTTGCTCACACC